AAGGTCAGGAAATTGAGAGCAAGACAATTACGTACAGATCTTATGAAAAATAACTTTTTTTCTTGGAGAAATAAGCCAAAAGAAATTTTAAAAAACTCTTATGTTTTAAGCCTCCCCACATAACTGAGTTGCTTTTTCACAACTTAAGTATTCTTTGTCCAATCCAGTATATAAGTGATTGACTCTAACTACTCTTTTGGGTCTTCATTTCTTTATGAAGGCGCCTGTGCCACATAAAACTTGTATTAAATAAATCTGTACATTTTTCTCTGTTGATCTGTCTTATGTCAATTTAACTTTCAGGCCCAGCGAAAAGAAATCCTAAAAGGGAAGAGGTAAATTTCTACCTCACTCCTTATACCAGTCATTCCATTCCTGGGTATCCACCCAAGAGAAATGAAAACATATGTCCACACAAAAACTTGTACGCAAATGCCCATAGCAGCATTATTCATAATAGCTAAAAAGTGGAAACAACCCAAATGTCCATTGACTGATGAATGGATAAACAAAATGTGGTCCATCCATACAATGAAATATCATTCAGGAATAAAAAGACATGAAGTGCTTCTAAAATAAACAGATAGAAACAGATAGTAGAATGGTGGTTGCCAGGGGCTGAGAGGAGGGGGTAATGAGAAGTTGCTATTCAACGGGTATAAAGTTTCAGGTATACAAGATGAATAAGCTCTAGAGATTGGCTGTACATTGCACCTGTAGTTAACAGTACTGTACTGTGCACTTAAAAATTTAAGAGGATACACCACGTGCGGTGGCTCACACCTGTAATCCCAGCACTTTGGGAGGCCGAGGCAGGTGGATTACCTGAGGTCAGGAGTTCGAGACCAGCCTGACCAATATGTTGAAATCCTGTCTCTACTAAAAATTAGCCAGGTGTGGTGGCACACACCTATAGTCCCAGCTACGCGGGAGGCTGAGGCAGGAGAACTGCTTGAACCTGGGAGGTGGAGGTTGCAATGAGCCGAGATTGCGCCACTGCACTCCAGCCTGGGTGACAGAGCGAGACTCTGTCTCAAAAATCAAAACCAAAACCAAAACAAACAAACAAACAAACAAAAACAAAATTTAAGAGGGTAGTTTTCATGTTAAGTGTTCATACCACAATAAACAAAATAATAAAAGGAATAAGGTCCTAATACATGCTATAACATGGATGAGCTTTGAAAACATTAGGCTAAGTTAAAGAAGACAATCATGGCCGGACACAGTGGATCATGCCTGTAGTCCCAGTACTTTGGGAGGCCAAGGTGGGCGAATTACCTGAGGTCAGGAGTTCAAGACCAGCCTGGCCAATGTCTACTAAAAATACAAAAGCTAGCCAGGCATGGTGGTAGGTGCCTGTAATCCCAGCTACTTGGGAGGCTGAGGCAGGAGAATTGCTTGAACTCGGGAGACAGTGCCTGCAGTGAACTGAGATCTGGCCACTGCACTCCAGCCTGGGTGACAGAGTGAGACTGTGTCTAAAATAAATAAATAAGACAATCATAAAAGACCACATATTTTATGATTCCATTTATATAAAATGTCTAGAATAGACCAATCTACAGAGACAGGAAGTAAATTAGTGGTTGCCTGTGGCTAGGGATGAGGGTTGGGAATGAGGAATGATTGCTAATGGGTACGATGTTTCCGTTTGGGGTGATAAAATATTCTAAAATTAGATTATGATGATGGTTGCACAATTCTGTGAATATGCTAGGAACTGCTGAACTGTAAGCTTTAAATGGGTGAATTTTATGGCAGATGAATGATATCAATAAAGCTGTTAGAAAAAAAAATCATAGCTAGTAAGTGCCAAGCAGGGTTGCAAAGTCAATATCTGGCAAGGGGTAGGTATTCAATAAATGTTTACTGAATAGATTGATGAATAAATAAACACCTTTCACATTCAAATAAAAAATGCCCAAGTTATTTTCATTAACATTAGCAGCAAGATAGCAAATACCCTCTATTAAATGTCACTCAACATTGTTCTGAAAGCTCTAACTAGTGCAACAGAAGATGAGGTGATCAGAATAAATATTTGAGAGAAGAGACAGTATCATTTTTAATTGGATGGAATATGGTAGCTAGGAAAAGTAAGACTATAAAAAGCAACTAGATTCATATGAGAATTTGGTAATTGGACTGAATACGAAATAAAATTATAAAAATAGATTTTCCCTATGGAAATAGAAAAAAATATGCTATTCACAATGATGATAAAAACAAAGGTAAAATATCTAAGAATGAACTGTTAAAAAAAAAAAAAGGTGCTGGACCCATAAGAAAACTATCAAATATTATAGTTTTAACGGTTATTTTTGAAACTAGATAAAATAGTTTTAACATTCATATGGAAGAAAAAGGCCGGGAGCAGTGGCTCATGCCTGTAATCCCAGAACTTTGGGGGGCCGAGGCAGGCGGATCACAAGGTCAGGAGTTCAAGACCAGCCTGGCCAATATGGTGAAACCTCGTCTCTACTAAAAATGCAAAAATTAGCTGAGCAGGGTGGCACACGCCTGTAGTCCCAGCCACTCGGGAGGCTGAGGCAGAATTGCTTGAACCTGGGAGGTGGAGGTTGCAGTGAGCCAAGATTGCACCAGTGCACTCCAGCCTAGGCAACAGAGAAAGACTCCATCTCAAAAAAAAAAAAAGAATAATAATAAACGCACAAGAAAATTAATGAAAGCAACCAAGAAGAAAGCGAGGGAGACTAGTTCTATGTGATATTAAAACTATTTCTAAAGTCAATATGATTTTTTAAAAAGGAGAACTAAACAGTTCAGAAATAAAACAATACACATTTGGGAACTTATGTGACAAAAGTGGCATTTAATTGAATTAGAAAACGGTATTCATTTAACGGCTGGTGCTGGCAAATTAGGTATCCAAATGGAATATACGAACTGATTCCATCTCACACCATACACCAAAATGAATTCCAGTTAGATTAAAATTTAACTTTAAAAATTGAAACAATAAATATATTAAATATAAATTTAAGGTATATTTGTTTGAACATGAAATGAGGAGAAGTCACTAGGCAAGACAATACACTCAGAACTTGTAAAGGAAAAAGGCAGATATATCTTCATAGATGATTTTTAAAAAATCAAAGGTGAAGACATCTTTCAAAAGTCAAAATCCAGAGACAGAGGAAATATAGTTACAATACAGGTTAATATTCACAAATTAGTAAGAAAGACAAACCACCTAAAGGAAACAAAGGGCAAAGGACGTGAAAAAGTTTAAATATATATTTCAATGGTCAATAAGAATGAAATAATGTTCAGCCACTAGTTGTCAGGAAAATGTACATCAAGGCAAACTAGATACCCTTGTGTTTGGCCCTCAGAATGGGGAAAATAAAAAAAAAAAAAATCCAGTGCGGAAGAGGATTTTGGAAGAAGTCTTTTTATATGTTGCTGGTGGGAGTTCCAATTTTACAAAAGTTCTGGAAAGTAGTATGGTGGTATGTATTGAACTTAAAAGCATCATTCCTGCACGTAATGATCACTCAGGTGACAGCCTCTAACCACAATTTAGAAATCAGTAACAAAAATGTCAATGTTTTGGGAAATCAAAATCTCATATTTAAATAACCCAGAGGTAAGAGTGAACATTGCAACTGCAATTAGAAAACATTAGAAGGAAACTATAGTGGAGATGCTACATATCAAAACTTGTGGGTTGCATGCTCATGCCTGTAGTTCCAGCACTTTGGGAGGATGAGCTGGGAGGACTACTTGAGGATTGCTTGAGGCCAGGAGTTCAAGACCAGCCTGGGCAACATAGCAAGACCCCAATCTCTACCAAAAATTTAAAAATTAGCTGGGCAAGCCTGCCTGTAGTCCCAGCAACTTGGGAGGCTGAGGTGGGAGGATCACTTGAGCCTAGGAGGTTGAGACTGCAGTGAGCCATGATGGCTCCACTGCACTCCAGCCTAGACAACAGAGAGAGATTCTTGTATCTTAAAAAAAAAAAAAAAATCAGCCTGGGCAACATAGTGAGACCCTGTGTCTACACAAAATAAAAAATTAGTGGGTGTGGCAGCACATGCCTGTAGTTCCAGCTACTTGAGAAGCTAAGTTGGGAGGATCGACTGAGCACAGGAGGTTGAGGCTGCAGTGAGCCATGATCGTGTCACTGCACTCCATCTCTGGGCGACAGAGTGAGACCCTGTCTCAAAACAAAACCGAACAGCAGCAACAACAACAACAACAAAACATGTGACATGGAGCTAAAGAGTTCTTAGAGAAAAATTTATAAACTTAATGTTTATATTATAAAATAAAATGACTGGATAATAAGAGATAAGCATTCAATTCAGGACTTTAAAAATGAGAACAAAAGAAAAAAACAGAAAAGAAATAACGAAGTTAAGGGCAGATATTAATGACAGAGAAACAAAGACACAGGAGGACCAACAAAGTCAAAAGTAGGTTTTTGAAACAACCTCATCTCAGACCTAAAGACCACCTATCACTGACCCCAGGAAGCTGCATATCTGATTCCACAGCCCCCCATCACCAGTCCCAAATAAACGCATCACTCACCCGGCAGAAACCTTGGTCAATCCCCCAATAAACCCCATCCTACACCTCACAGACCTCCAGTAGTCGCCCCGCACAGCCCCTTCTCACCCCACGGACTTCTCATCACTCATCTCACATATACCTTATCACTCACCCTAGAGACCCTGTATCACTCACCCCACAGACCCCCTTATCATTTACTCCGGTGTCCCCAACACTCATCCTACAGGCTACCCATCAATTTTCTCTAGTGACCCATCACTCACCCACAAACCCCAATCACACTCTCTGCACCTCCCTATAAATGACCCCAGAGAAGCCTCCTCACCCCACTGAGCATCATCGAGTACAAAATCCATGTCATAACATCCCCATAATTATCTCAACGCTTGATCCATGTCTTAACATCTCCATAATTATCTCAATGCTTAAGTGGCCCTAAGTCCATCTGTTAAACTCACTCCCAGAGCCTTAAGTCCTGAAAACTGCTTCGAGGGACCCCGGCGCTTCTGGACTTGATCTGCACATGCTTAGTGTCAGCTCCGAAGCGGCCGCTCGCCCACAATTACACCTGGTGCCCTTACACCGCGCCGGTGCGTGCGTGCGTGCGCGTGTGCGTCGAAGGAGAGGCGGGCTTTCCCATTTCCTGCAGCGACTGTCAGGCAAGGAACATGGCTGTCCCCTTGGGAGTGTCTCTACGGGAGCCGCCATCTTGGAAGGGTGATCATTTCTGCAGCGGAGCCCACGGTACCCTACTCGATATACCCCTGTGGGATTTTCCAGTGGCCGAGGCACTGGGCCATGGAATGTACCACCAGGCTTCTCCCCTCCGCCGCAGCCTCTAGGAGTCAGTCGCCTTTGAGGCCCCGGCAGGCGGGGCGCCTTACCTCTTCCGCCCTCAGGGTGCACTCCGCCTCAGGCCGTC